CGACTATATGAAGTTCGTTCAAAATTTATCATAAGATCTGCAAATAGCAAAAGAGACATTGCTTTGAGCATTGTTCCTGTTATAGTGATTGTAACGAATATAAGATTGCTTTACTTTTTGTTAATGCTACTGCACCTAGCCAACCTGGGACTTTATCGGACAACTATGACTTGAAATAAATGCATTCCCTTACTTAATAAAATTATGCTTGATTGGCATTTTATTAAGGTGACCCAAAAGTAATGCGGCACCTTAGTTTATTGAATATTTATGAAGATTTCTTTCTGTTTAACACGTTGACGACGAGCTGTTTCTATGTCTGTCCTTGTGAACGTTCCCGACCATTTTCACAGCGGCTGCATATAAGTATGCATGCATTTTGTGCGTGAGATACATAAATGCAAGTGGGCGGGGCAGCTCCGCCCACTTTCTCAAAATGCTGGGATTTGCTCAAATTCAATGAATTCGTGCAACTTCAGCATTTTTGAAAAGTGGGCGGAGCTTGCCCTGGGGGTGGAGCCTGCGTAACGGAGCGCCGGGTCAAAATTAAGATTATTGAGGGTTTTCAGTCATCTACGAGCTTTTCTATGAAAAAAGTTTTTTTTGTAGAGGTAACGAAGTGAGCATAGTTTGGCTCAAAAGGGCGCAGGGCCAATTTGAATTACTCAGACTGGGACCATTGTGCACATTAGAACTGATATTAAGGGTGCCCCTCGCACCATTGCGTGACATCGTCCCCAGGGACAGACTGCCTGCTCACCATTGCGCGACACTGTCGTCAACGTGTTGACCAAAAACAAGTAGCAGATTGAACGCTTTTGTATAAAGTAACCCTCGCATGTTTTCTGACAGCAGCACCTAGCAAGCGGCCAGTCCTTCAAGCGGTGCTTCCAGGAAATCACACAAACTTTTTCGAACGCCATCCGAACCTGTGCTGCTTTTCCCCCAAACTTGAACAGACATAGCATTCGAAAAGGCTTTCCAAGCTTTTTCTAATAATCACTTGAATGAAAAAAATTTTTATCAATGTAAGCAAAAGAGTTCATTCAGAAATGTAATATTGGAGCAGACTTCCATACTGGATATCATATTTTGGCTGACAGTTTATAAAAATTGAAGATAATCGCGGCAATTTGCATATTTCAGATAAAGCCGTAATCAACCAGATATCGTCTGCCAAAGGTAGCGTTCGATTACCTTGATGAGAGATTGAATAACATGCTTTAAATTTGAGCGCTTATGAAAAAAACGACGTGTGACAGCTCATCTACAGACCTCGATCGGAAGGGGAGGGGGGGATAGAAGACTATATGTCGCCGAAAGGGGGTAGCCTCCGCGGTTATTTTAAACAAATGCGCACCCTTGTATATGCAAGATGCGTTCCTGCAAGAAGTCTGCGCGGGACCCTCCCACTTCGGCGACATATAGTACTCCACGAAGGCTTTGATTTACTAACAATTGCCAACTTGAACATCCAGTTAAGTTTTCTGTTTGAGAGAACTGCATTTATTCCCAAAATGCTTTACTTTTGGATCGCCCTGATAGTATCTATCTCTCAAACTCAAAAGTTAATGCAAGAAAAACACCTTTCAGTATCAAGAGCACTGTTTGCATTGGGAGTTTTGCAGATCTTCTAGGCGACGGGCATAGTTGCCGCGATTTCGTCGTCGCGATATTATCGCCGGGGATTTCGATGGCTGGACGATGAGAACGCTACGACAAAATCGCTCTTCGCATTACATGGGCATGTGCTCGCGATTCCATGTCTTTACACAAAAGCTGATTGGAATTTGTTTACATAATATATTCCGCTTACTCACTCTCAGCATCCACCACTGCTTATGCCAGTTGTGATGATAATCGGGTAAAAAAATTTCCACAATTTGCCTGTCTTTTATCAAGTCAATTCCTCACAAGCTTACCCCTTTTCGGCGAATTCTTGCCTACGAATGTTGTCCTTTGAAAGCTAACAACTACGATTGAGAAACTTTTCGCTAAGTTTTTGGAAGAAACAATCAGAAGGAATCGATTGGAAAGATGACATGGGCATGTGTAGCGTCTAGCAAAAATTAACATGCAGTTTGTTGAGAAAAAAATTTGAGCACAGCACATGAAGACAGCGGAAACACAAAAGCATAACCGTTCGTGCTTATGCGCCAGTATCAAAAACAAAAAGTTCTCCTGCGTTTATGCTAACAGCAAAACGTGAGATTATCCATTCAAAATGAAACAACAAATTATAAGGTTAGTTTGCAAAAAGCATTCACTCACAAAAAAGCACCAGAAAAACAAGTCAAGCTAAATCCGTTTAGAAAACGGAACACTCAACAATTGCGCAACTACTTTCGTCAAGATTTTCTTCAAACAAAAACGAGTTAAAGGACCAATGCATTTCTGTAGAAAACATGCTCTCAAAATCTCCTTCCAACCTCAGCGATATCGCCCGGTCGCCAGTACAGCACGCGCGACGCGACATCGCTGAATTTTGCCAAAATCGCAGCGATTATCGCCGGGAAACTATGCTCTAGCCAAAACGGTCTGTGATCCGTCGCAGCGGATAACTATCACAACCGCCTTGGCGGACACATGGGCTCGCAATGAGTGCGTGACAATTGTCGTTTCAGAGAATTCGCAGCTCGACGGAATTGTGACCACTATGCTCTAGGCCCTACGCATTATAGCTTGAGTGACAAATCCTGAATTTTGTGTAATTTTTTGATCAAATGGATTCTATATTACCTTTCATAATATTAATCAAAAGTCAGTAATTACAGTTTCGTTAATAGTATAGTCAATCAATAGTCTATGAACTTTCGTGCCAATAGGGAGAGAAGAACTTAAGTGAAGCATATGCAATGTCATCATTCTTCTGTAGATTTATGGAAAGCTCCGCACACGAATTTGATTTGATGCAAGTCTTAGAAAATGAAGGCCTAAATATTATTCGATTTTCAGTCAAAAGGAGTAATATTCAGTACAAAAAAGCGGTAATAAATATTCTTTGGCGAAGAAATGCAAAGAGGTGTAAAATGGAAAAGTAGTCTTCATAAAACTGACGTGATGCTAGATCTAGTCTAGCTAGTACGACTAATGGTTTGCACGGTTGGCAGAAATGTTAAGCAGGTTGTTACAAGCCGTTAACAGTTTCCAGCATTTTCGTAAAGAATGAGTGAGTTTGCAAACGCGACATCCTAGGCATCGCATCGATTGCGTCCATTTTAATCGCACAACCCATTTCGCGGGGAATTTCGTGGGTATCATATCTAAAGACAGGTGCGTGGACGTTGCTCTCAGCACTTTAAGAAAACACCTGATGTTACTGGACGTCTGCGCCCGTAGTAACTCTCTCGGCGGTGGTTGCGACGTTCGAAACATCGTACCCAATATGTGTCGTTTCGGCCGTGATTCATCCGGCAGCTATTTCTTACCATAACCGCGGATAAAATGGTGGACGTCGTGACTGCAGGACGTGCTCATCCTCGTGCGCATAGGACGAGCACATCATGAGCGTCGTCACTTGACGGGTAGACTGCGCCTAGCACGGAATTGCAAGAAAGGTGCACCCGACCCACATCATGAGCGTCGTCACTTGACGGGTAGACTGCGCCTAGCACGGAATTGCAAGAAAGGTGCACCCGACTAAGGGTCGAGTACGCCGAGTTCGTTCTGTGCACAAAAACCGTAGGCACAGATCGCTAGGTATAGCGCGACGCCAGATACAATCGATATCAGCAGCTGATAATCGTCCCAAATGTCAAAGCGCTGAGCGATTCCCTACGTTTTGAGATCTGCTGCACTATGCTTTATAATTTGAAAAAGGGAGTTTAGTTCAATTACAAAATATGTTTTATCATATTTTCTTGTGAATAAGCCATTTTTCCTTTATATTCCCACTTTCAATCAATTTGTTCACCTTTTTTTCCATGTCATAATTTTCTTATATCTGTCCATCAGCGGCCTGTATTGCGCATGTTTGCCGATTTGCTATTTATCAGCTGTGAACATAGCGTTTCTGCGTCGATGTGAGCGAGAGAACTGTTTGGCATCATGGGTAATGGAGCTCATGTTATAACTAAAGTAGTATTGTTTTACAGTATTCCAAATTTTTTTAGAGTTTTGCTAATTTGAGTGTTACCATATTTTCAGGTGTACAAGCCGCACTTTTTCAAATTTTTCCACGAGCTGCTCAGCAGCTTCATTGTGTTTCGAGTAGCGATCTTATGCCTCACGATTCTTTCAGACAATACGCAGCACGTTGTTGGGTCCTTTAGTTGCGAAGTCCTTTGATGTGTTCGGGCTGATCGATGTAAGCCAGGATCACCCTTCGGCTTGTACACTTGAAAATAGGGTACATGCTTTGTTTTCTTCTATTAAGAAAGATTCTAGTAATTTTTGTGCATTTAAGTGCGTGGAAGCTCATTCAACGAAGCAGTTTGCAAAACGTGCGTTCACTTAGCACACGTAACCCTCACCCTCCTCTCTTGATGACAGCGGCGTCCGACACTGGCGCTGAGTTATCAGCACTGCTTATGGACACACTGTTGGTAAGCGCCTTTATTGTGAACACGGCAAAGCAGTGCATACTTTTACAATAAACAAATTAAAGCTGATAAAATTAAGCTTGCTTATTGAGTTGTTCGAACTATGTCGCAAGCGACTGTACTGTCGGACGCATTCGTTTCGTACGCTTCTACATTTAAGGCATGAAATCTAAAGCGCAGTGTCAGTGCGCGCTGTTCGCAGTAATTGAGAGGCTCCACCTCGTGTGAGCGCGCAAGTTTTGCGGCGGCCAAGGTATGGTCGTGAATACATGTACTTTAGTCGGACACGTCGTAATCTCCTTCCTTTACAATACGACAAATTTGGTGATTTGCTACAGGCCCTGATACGTGGTGTCACTAAACAAAGTTTACAATTTAGGGTCTTTAAACTGACACTAATAGACCACAAACAGCTTTGAAAATTTGATTGAGCGACATGTCACTATAAAGCAGACTTACATCACTGTCGTGTACAAAAGCAATCATGCCAGCACAAAATTGCCAAATCCTTGTGAAGACATTATAGAAAGCAGTGTTGCTATCAACTGTGAAATATAACTGCATAGAAGCATATGCGACTCCTTAAACAAACACTAAACATACTTATATGCGGACTTTAACCCCCACATGTTGAACATTACTAACCCAAAAAAAACATTGTTTTTGGCAAAGGTAGCAAGTTTTGTAGAAAGAAAAGCGGAGGAACTAGCAAGTACCATTGCATCTCGACGCATAAAGACCAAGTATGCGTGAAAAGATCATCAGCATCATTCAGCTGTAACTTGTACACATGATTGTGGGCAAAAGACCTCGCTGTTACTTACCATTTCCTCATACCCCTTCAAAACATCAGTTTCAGAGAATCTAATGTTTGTAATGAGTAGTAACGCTCTGCGAGAACTTGCAAAATTCATAGAACGAAATGTAGGTAGCTCTACTACAACAAACAAAAGCACTGCGAACAACACCATGTAATACATCGGCAGTATTCGTTTGATTCTGAACAATTCCAAACTTTGCTCTATTACGGTCTATCACTTCTACTTAACCTTCTGTAATAGAAAGTCGAAAGAGACGAGGCAGTTATAGGCAGAGCCCTTGTGATAATCATTGCCATCAGAAAGCCAGACACGACAAAAAACCTGTTATGTACTTGGAAAACTTGTTCAAAATTGATGCTGTTCATAATCAAAATCTCTCGTAACTGGGTATAGCCACACTCATTTCGACTCACATGTCTACTCCTACGTAACCGTTCGGGCAATATGTGGGGAAAAAATGGAATGCAAGTACCATACATATCGCCCACCCTCGTATTCCTTGTATATCTTCCCTCTTTTGATTCGTAGAGCTACAAAAACTTTTTTTGCACTCGATTCTTTTGGATAGTTATGATAATAAAGAGCCATAGACCGTAAGGGCAGTTTTTCGATAATCCGTCTTGACGACAACACTAAAAGACCGAGCAAGCTAATCGTCAGTAACATATTACTTAAAAAGGCACCATAAAATTCCGAATGTGGATTTACGAGGCAATGTTTCCGATATATTTCCAACATCTTTTGCTTTACAAAGCTCACGACACATCGAAAAGACTGAGCGCAAAATCTTGTCGTTTTGTACATACTGGCAAATGATCAACTCCTTCAAAATGCGAAAAGGCTCATATGTTATAGAAATTTCTAAAAAATGAATAAACACACAAAATCAACTTAACCATATCCAAGATAAAATCCTCTAAAGTTCTTGCGTGAATTCTAGACTTTGTTTTTTTTTGTAATCGTGTTCGTTTTACTGCCTCAAAAAATGTTACTCTTTTGATGTACTCTGCTTTGTAGACGGTTTATTTTCAGATTCAAACTGAACTGTTACCTTGACTCGGCTGTTAAAGGCTTATCTGTTTCCCCTTCATCTTGAAGCGCTGCAACACAAGACCATGACTCCTGTCTAAGCATTGCCAGCCAACAAACCTCTTTCAGGAAGCAAAAGCCCTCGTGACATGGACTCGCGGAAGGTAAACACTAAATGATAACATGATTGCTTAAATGAAAATTTACTGTAGAGACCGATAGTATACTCTGATGCGCTTACGGAAGCAAAGACTTGGGACAAAAGCAAACGTGAAGGGCTTCTTTTCTTTTGTAAAAAGCTCGGTATGCTGTTTAGATTGCACCAGTGTTTATTGCCAGCATATGGGGTAAGCCCCATTATCATGGTGTCTCAACGCTGATCGTCTCCTTAAAAACCCTTATAATTAAGGTTTACTTCCCGCGATTTGGCGAAATCGCCACACCCACGCGACATGGCTATTTGCCAAATGTTTCCAGATTGACCATGCGGTGGTCGTAAATGCATAAGCACGTGGCTTCTGTAAGCTGTTGCAAGAGCATGAAGTTTAGCTCAAGTAATTCGAGCTTACAACTTGAATTCCGTAAGCTGTGACAAACGCAGCAAGTCTGGCCCTAGCAAAGCGCGTTTACGACTATTTATAAAGAGTCGTTGCGGTGTCAGATCGCGCAGCGACTAAAATCGCTTGAGGTATGCCTCAGGTCCTAGAAAATGTGGTTCAGCGACCGTATTTTACCATGTCTTTTGATTACTTCCTGCTTCTTTCTGATGTTTTGCAAGCAAAAATCGCAAAACCACCTCACACATCAATCTAAGCGGAGAAAAAGATCCTGAACACACATAGGGTCAATAATCCGTGTCGTGGAAAAGGCGGTTTATGGCGAAACGTTGAGTCACTGATAATGAAGCTCCGCCAGATGATAGCGCTGGCAAAATAGTACTTTTAACATCATCACATGCAGAGTAAAACATTTACGACTGAAAGGATCAAGCACAAAAAAAAATAACCAATGCTTTTGAACGGCAAAACGTGTCACTAATCTTATATTTACCTCAAGGCTTTCGCAACGACGGCAGAGAATGATACTATAAGAATATTAGGGTTGCATATATTCTGTCCATTTTTTTGCCTTATGTTTGAAGCAGTTGTTCTGAGAGAATTTTATCTCTAATGTGGTTTGCGCTTTATAAAGCATATATAATTGCAATAAATTTCCTAGTGTAAGGAGATTTCAGGCCTAAAATCTCCAAGTGGCCGTGATACGTTCTCATCCTAAAAATGTGTTCTTGCAAGAAAATCTTCACAATGCGCCCTTTAGGCCAAGTTTTTCAATTGGTTGCGGAATAAGGGTGTAATAGGCGCATACGCATAAGTTCAATTTCATGAGGAAAACGTCTTGCTAGTAAAATTTATCATCAAACATTAATTTTCTATACAGATGTTTTACAATAACTTTCTGCGAATAGAAGTAATCGATAAGTTCAAAGTTGGAGGTGCTAGGGACCATCTCGGCGTACAATATGTTCATCTACAAAAGTTATGAATTTTTTTATGCTAAAAACTCGAATACAGTTGCAGCGGTGGAATTTGTCCAAAACTGCGGGATTGTCGGGATTCGCGGGATTGTCGGGATTCGCGGGATTCGCGGGATTCGCGACTTCGCGGGATTTGCGGGATTCGCGGGATTTGCGGGATAAGTGGGATTTAGCTATAACTTCTTTTAAAATAGCTTTGTTTGTAATCTGAGTGAAGATTTGGCTTCAGCTTGATGAGACGTATCTTTTGATATACGGTATGTCCGTAGTTCATAGTGACGGGGTAGACATACAATGATACCTTGTTGTTTTCTACGTTAAGGCTTTTGTGGACATTTATCACAGTGTAAATCGCGTATAGGAGGTTCTGGTACGAAGCTCTCGTTATCGAAAACTATCGCGAAAAATTGGGCAGTTTTTATCTACCCTTATCGCTGATATAAGCATTTTATCATTTATCACTGATAATAACACATTTTTGGATCATTTATTGCATATGGTAAGGAAAGTACTGTAGGAAAAGCTGTGTGAATTTCTATCGCTCTTTCTCTCATTATAAGTGATCTACAGGCTTTTCTGGTTCTATTGCTCGGTGCAATTGGTAGATCCCTCGCTGCAGCAATCGATCGATTTTTCATCGGCACATGCCATTGCTGCCAATTCTTACCTAGAATGGCATTTTTGCTTCAACTCGCTTCACGCCGAAGCCTGGGCTGAAATTCTGTAACTATATGGAAGATGAACGTGGAAATCGACCGCATGAATTTAAGCCATTCTTATCTGTCGTTGTCATTGATATCATCATTTTATCATTTATCACTGACGGCACAAAATTGGATCATTTTTGATATACAATAAGGAATGTACTTTAGAAAACGCTGTGTGAGTTTTTATCGCTCTATCTCTTATAGTACAAAACCACTCGCAGAATATGCAAAATTTCCGGGAATTCCGCGAAATTCATGTGAATCACGCAAATTACGCAGGGCCATAACTTTTTTCCGAATGAGTATATTCAAAATCCGAAAACAACGTTGTATTCAGCTCGTCAAGGCAAATCTTTTGGTATACGATTGTCTCCAATATCTTGTTTTCAATAATCTTGAATTTGCATGCCGACGCCTCTTCGCATGGGTGTAACGCAACAAGCATCATACATAGGAGACTGCTATGGGCACCGTTCGATAGTACTCTTTCACTAGATTATCGTGCGCTAAACAGCAGCCGAAGACTCCCTTTCAAAAGAGATAGAAGAGCTGATAAACTCTGAAAAAATTAAGCTGTTCCAAGTTTTACTAGCCGTAACTTTCTTTAGAATGAACATTTTCGAAATCAGAAAGCAGATTTGTGTTCATCTTGTCAAGTCGAATCTCACTGTATACAGCATGTTCTTGAAGCTCCGTTTTCAATTTTTTCAAAATTTTCTGCGCGCGTATATTCACAAGGTAGCAACGCAGCGCACATCAAACATAAAAGACTCTATTAAGCACTGTTGGATTGTGCTGCTTCCGCAGATTATCGAGCGCTAAAAAGCAACCGGAGAATCTTTTTGAGAAAAAATAGAAGAGCTGGTGAATTCTGGAAAATCGTGTTGTCTCAAATTTTGCCCACAGTGACCCTAAAATGAGAAGCTCTACTGCTAAGCAGATGTGGTTTTCGTAATCAGCAGGTCAGATAACCTCTATGAGCAAGTTTTCAAAGAAATTTGGGTGATTCGATTTTTTCTCGTTATACGCCCTGAAGCTCGCCGATGGGTTTTGGTCAAAATGTGGATGACCTTGGATTGTAAAGAAACTTCGCCCAAAGAGGTTTTCGAACACGCTGTTTACGAAAATAGTGGTCTTTGAAGAAGACAGGGTCTTTTTGTATAGATATTGTGAGGTGACTGTAACTGAGTCACGAAAGTTCGTACATTTGCCTGCACTTTTCGCGAATTTGTCAGAAAACTAGCCTGCTTGCTTTTCCAAGTCAAAATCACTGGGAACTGTGCTATCAAAAGGTGCATGCTCAGGCTCCAGTCTATAAAGTTCGCCGAGTTACGAGCCTACGAAAAGACGTCTTCATAATTTTCGCTCAAAATGTAAAAATCGCGTATTTCGTCGAAATTCCGCCCTCAGTGGTTGTATGACATTCTGATCAAATCTGTTCACATTGGTTAATGATCTTAATGTGCTGGATTTGGAAATTAGGTAGATCTGAGCTCAAGCTACGAAGGTGCTTGTGTCGAGACGCAGACTAATTAGAGTCTGACAGTCCCCTCGCCGACTGGGCGGTGCCACCAACTTCAGATGAGCTGGCACTCCCCGGGTGCTCGGTGGTCCCTTCCCCAATTCTGTTCCCTCATTATATTTATGTTATAACGATAAAATGATCTAGTCAGAACTGTTGTGTTATTACAAAGGAAAGAAACTAAGGGTAGAGGGATCAAGTTAAGAGAATAGCTAACTCTTCAGACTTGACACCTGGATATTCAAATGAGCAGCTGAAGAACGCACGACCACCATATTCAACTCAATGGGATCCCTTAGGCGAAGTGAGCATATGCAATCAGAATGTCATACAACCACTAAGGGCGGAATTTCGACGAAATACGCGATTTTTACATTTTGAGCGAAAATTATGAAGACGTCTTTTCGTAGGCTCGTAACTCGGCGAACTTTATAGACTGGAGCCTGAGCATGCACCTTTTGATAGCACAGTTCCCAGTGATTTTGACTTGGAAAAGCAAGCAGGCTAGTTTTCTGACAAATTCGCGAAAAGTGCAGGCAAATGTACGAACTTTCGTGACTCAGTTACAGTCACCTCACAATATCTATACAAAAAGACCCTGTCTTCTTCAAAGACCACTATTTTCGTAAACAGCGTGTTCGAAAACCTCTTTGGGCGAAGTTTCTTTACAATCCAAGGTCATCCACATTTTGACCAAAACCCATCGGCGAGCTTCAGGGCGTATAACGAGAAAAAATCGAATCACCCAAATTTCTTTGAAAACTTGCTCATAGAGGTTATCTGACCTGCTGATTACGAAAACCACATCTGCTTAGCAGTAGAGCTTCTCATTTTAGGGTCACTGTGGGCAAAATTTGAGACAACACGATTTTCCAGAATTCACCAGCTCTTCTATTTTTTCTCAAAAAGATTCTCCGGTTGCTTTTTAGCGCTCGATAATCTGCGGAAGCAGCACAATCCAACAGTGCTTAATAGAGTCTTTTATGTTTGATGTGCGCTGCGTTGCGACCTTGTGAATATACGCGCGCAGAAAATTTTGAAAAAATTGAAAACGGAGCTTCAAGAACATGCTGTATACAGTGAGATTCGACTTGACAAGATGAACACAAATCTGCTTTCTGATTTCGAAAATGTTCATTCTAAAGAAAGTTACGGCTAGTAAAACTTGGAACAGCTTAATTTTTTCAGAGTTTATCAGCTCTTCTATCTCTTTTGAAAAGGAGTCTTCGGCTGCTGTTTAGCGCACGATAATCTAGTGAAAGAGTACTATCGAACGGTGCCCATGGCAGTCTCCTATGTATGATGCTTGTTGCGTTACACCCATGCGAAGAGGCATCGGCATGCAAATTCAAGATTATTGAAAACAAGGTATTGGAGACAATCGTATATCAAAAGATTTGCCTTGACGAGGTGAATACAACGTTGTTTTCGGATTTTGAATATACTCATTCGGAAAAAAGTTATGGCCCTGCGTAATTTGCGTGATTCTCATGAATTTCGCGGAATTCCCGGAAATTTTGCATGTTCTTTGAGTGGTTTTGTACTATAAGAGATAGAGCGATAAAAACTCACACAGCGTTTTCTAAAGTACATTTCTTATTGTAT